ATCATGGGAATCCACTCCCACTTCCTAATGTTTATAAGCCTCATTGTATTGAAGGAGCGAGCATTTTTTAACCCAATAAATTCCAATAACTCGTTTGTCCACACAACGCAACTCACATTAATTGCCCTTTGGTCGTCCGTTCAAATCAAATTAACCGCTATTCGGTTCAACTTAATCAACCGCTGTTACTCAAATCCAACATAACCTTCTCCAACTAAACACACCTCAATCGACTCCCCGTAAACAACGCGAAAGGTAAATCAACCTTGGTCGAAATACTGGTGGTATTTGGAACTCATAGACATCACCTCCAACAAATCAACGAATTTCACGACAGAGTCAATCAGTAGGTAATTGCGTAATAGAAAAATCTTGATGGTAAAACTGACTTCTTCGAGCAATAAATTACATCATACACTTGTTGTTCTATAACATAAATTTCAAAATAATTTATTAATTTATTACACTATAGTACTTGAACAAAGTCATTCGATGTATGAACAAAGAATTATGTAACCATTTGATAAATGAACTTAATTGCAACAAAGACCTTTCAAGATGAAGTTAATAGTACAAAAAAAGTTATTCGAAATTGAGATGTTAAACGTAAGTTATTATTTAATTGAGAATATTTAATAAAAAAAACAAACGATTTTTACGACATTGATTTCAAAATAGTTTATAAAATAGATTCATATCATCATTATGATCGATTTCATAGCTATCTCCTTGTGACAGTGAATTGGATGGATGAAATTTCTCTGATTAAAAAATTTTTTTAGTCCATTTCACAAATGCTTTTAAAAATGAACTATTAACAGAATACCTTACTAAGTTAGGTCATATATTAGTTTGTTAAAATAGATTCATATTATCAACTATTACAGAACATTATTGAACTTAGTATCGGTGATTCAGCGAAAAAATTTGTGTATTTTTTACTGACAATTTCATTTTTCGTTCTATCATCCACCCATTGGTCCCGTTTCCCCTTTCGGTCCTTCAGCACCTCGTGGTCCTTGTGGACCTCTTGGACCTGGCCCTCCCTGTGGCCCTGGTTGTCCTGGTTCCCCACTAAGTCCCGTCGTTCCTCGAGGACCTTTATTTCCTCTAGGTCCATTTCGTCCCGGCGGTCCCTCACGTCCATCCGGTCCTGGCGGTCCTGGTTCCGTCATCGAAAGGCATGCCTGAAAACAAAATTCACGCTATTTGGTACTTTGTAGATCGCATTGAAATATAATTTTTCCATTAGAAATAATCGGTGAG